TTTTTTTGATACAATTTGTATTGATAAGTGAAGCACTATTCCACTGAAACCAACTGTATTAAATTCCATTAGTACAATGATCCATAAAAATGAACAAATCAGACAAATACCAGAAGAAATATAAATTATCATATAAATAGATATATTAGTTGCACTTTTGTGAATCCTTCTTACATCGTCTTACCAAAAAAATAACCCAAATTTCTATATTCTGCTTTTGTTACTGTTCTAAATTAAACTTCATTTGAAAATATCGCTAAAAGAACAACAAGTACTACTTAGTGTACTAGACGGAAAAATAGATATACTGTAATCACCATAAAGATTCACCCGCTTTTTACCATAGCTCTAACTGTGACATCAAAAAAGTTGATTAAGTTTAGTTAAGCCAAAAAAAAGGAAAAAACAATAAAATAGAAGAAATAAAAAGCAAATCTTATTATATAACATTGCTCCTACTTATAAGTACAAACGATACTTTTGCTCCCTCCGTATTTTTTTTATTCTACCATCAAACTCAACTTTTTTTTTCATATAAATTAAACAACTGAAAACACTACGTCTAGGAAATAACCTAATCTCTTTCTTCTTTTTCTTCTTTTTTACAATCCAAATTTATTGTGCCGAATAATCATTGAAAAGTGCTTTAAATTATTGAACACACCACATAAAGTAGAACAATTTTAAAAATCAGTCGATGCAGTTGCAGAAAATATTTTTGCTCAACAGCTTCGCCGTCACCTTCCACTCCTTTGTGTCCACCATCGTACCTACCGAGCAGAATATTCCGCCAACCATCTTGCCATAGAAATCTTTTAACCAACAGCACCACCTCTACTCTTTTTATTAATGCTCAGCGGCAAAAACTTATTCTCACCAACAGTAATCGACACTCTACACTAGTTTGGTCTTAAAAGTCACAAATAAATAAAAAAAGAAAAAGAAAGAGGAAACAAGTTACTCAAAAGAGGTAAAAAAATGCATTAAAAAGTAACAATTGACAAGAAAAACCAGATTAAACATAAATATAAATGCATAAATATAAATATAAATGCATAAATATAAATATAAATGCATAAATATAAATATAAATATGAATATAAATATAAATATAAATATAAATATAAATATAAATATACATATATATAATTTAGATAAAGATATATAGGCAGAAAAAGTTGTTAGGTCACTATGAAGAAGTGTCTAATTGTTTGAAGCAATTGTTGTTGTTATTGTTACTGTTTTGCCGCAACTATTCGAGGAGCATTCAGGGAAGTGAAAAAACGAAAAAATCAACTGGACTAAATAAACATATAAAAGTTTAGACGCCAAAGAATCATTGACAAATATTTCATTATCGGTAACTATAGGAAAAAAAAGCCGAACAATTTGTACAACTCTCAACCATTAATCTTATTTATTACCTTTAGATATAACTAGTTTGATACAGTAGCAAAAGAACAAAAAAAAATCAGGAAATAAATTGCCAAAACTGTTATGGTACCATATTAGAAGAAAATAGACTTTTTTCTGCACCTATAAGCCAATAAATAACAGTGAAAAAGGTTTGAATAAAATAACCATAAATTCTCTGACTAAATATTTACTTTAAATAAATACCACCGCAGCAACAATATTAACAGTAATAATTCTAACCTCCGTCTTTCATGTATCAATGTGACAGTAAATAATTTAATTGACCGATGTGTTAGATAGAAAAAAAAAAGTCGAAAGCAGTAATAGATTATTCCAAATACAAATGATATAGGCAACAAATTCTAATTGTTTCTCTTTTTTTTTTTTTT